GTCGAGTGGCAGGAGATATGGGAGGCAAATGCTACAGTTTCAATATGTGTTACTCTCCAAGAGCAAGCATGGAAAACTATTTTTAGGTGGTATACTACCCCTGTAAAACTATACAGAATGCACAAATTGGAGACTGAGGATTGCTGGAGGGGTTGTGGAGCCCGAGGAACATACATCCACATGTGGTGGGAATGCCCGAAGTTACGTAGCTTCTGGAGGTCCGTAGAGGATCTTCTAAAACAGACGTTCGACCCGTGGATATACCTGTTGAATAGATCTCTGGACGGATGGACCAGAAGGGAACAGAAATTAGTACAGAAGATAACGCTGTGCGCACGGCGTGCAATAGCGACTGCTTGGCTCTCACCAGAGGGCCCAGAATTCCCAGGGGTTATTTCCAGGATCAGAGAATGTAGAATTATGGATGACTTAACAGCGAGGGTAAGAGGGACTTTGGCGGCATTTAAAAAAACTTGGGAACCATTCGACAATAGTATAGTGGGCTCGAACAGAGACTGACAAGGCCCTTTCTTCGGGGATATGACCCGAAATAGAAAGACCCCTCCTAGAGGGGACATAATTGTCACGCAGTGGCTGTGGAGTCTCCGCCCTCCCCCTGACCCCACCTCCCCTATTCTTTCCTCCTTACTCTTTCTTGATTACATATCTTCTTTCTATTTCCTTTCTTTAGAATTTCACTTCTTTTCAGTCTCATCTGGTTTTGATCTTCTTTCTTTCTTTTTTTGTCCCTTCCCCTGTTTTTACTTGGGAACAAGGACTTTTTTTTTTTTTTTTTTTTTAAGGCATGATCATACGGTCAGTGGAATAAGGTAGCACATGAACAAGAATGGTTATTGAATAGAATGGGCTACTTGTATCGCCTAATTGCCTGTCCTTGTTTAAAATAAAATTCCTCAGTCGACGGCGGGTGGTTTTTTAAGGAATGGGCATGTATCGCATATGTTGAACTGCATTCTGTTACCAAGACTTTTATTTCAGTTGGCTTCTGGGTAAGCACAAAAGTGAATACACCTGTTCTGTAAAAGAATTTAAAAATATATATATATATATATATATTTGACGGTTATATTTGACCCTGTAACTTTCAAAAAACATTTTAAATTTTTTTATTTTACACTAGCAGGGAGACTGCCTGTCAGCACAGGCAGTCCCCCTGCAGGCAGACACTAGGACACCTATTGTGACCATGTTGAGTGTTCACATGGCCCCGGGGGTCCTAATTCGCCATGGGGAAACTGCCTGGGCTGCAGGCAGTCTCCCCACACCGGTAGCACCGCCGAGGGAACGATGGCGATCGGGTAAGTACATAATACCGTTGTGACGGTTCAGGACCGTCAGCGGTCAGCAACAGTAAAATACTGATGACTGTCCTGAACTGTCCACGGTCGCTAATGGGTTAACTACACTCACGAGTACAGATATTCCTGCGCCTCTTCTGTCTGTGAGTGAACAGTAAATGGAAGGTTCTATTCTTGCCCAGAGCAGCTCAGTTCGGTGCCGTTGGGGCAAGAACTTTTCACACCTTCTGTAGCGGAACTGCAATATTAAATCCCAATATCTCCGCTGGTAAAATAAGGTAATCCAAGGAAAGCGTTGAAAATGAAGTCAATATCCCAAATCCCCACAGTAACCAGACGAAACACAGTTCTGGGAGTCAACTGATGATTTTATTCACAAGCTCCAGTATTTATGTGGTTCCCCATGCAAGGGGTATCCTTAATTACTTTACAGGGGTTGTACAGTAGGGGACTACATGGGGAACTGAACATACAGGACATTTCTCCCACCATGCACTGCTGTACGAGAGGGACACTCCCATAAGAATATCCTGTTAAGTGGATTATCCCTCCGTACAGCAGAACTGGCCTTTTACTTAAAAATCCATAACATTTTTTATTCGTGCCATTGTACCGAATGACTGTTCAGCAGATAGCTAGGGTCTGAGCACATACTTCGCGAAAGTACCGCTCAGATCCCAGCCCAACTAGCCGAACGCAGCACGAAATACGCTTTAATATAAATTCCTCATAAAAGTCACGAATACATAAGTGGGGAAAAAGTACCAAAAGACCGGCGCTCCCGAACGGCCTGGAAGTCCAGCGGTGTTCGTGCCGTTGAGTAGCCGATTTTAGTTCCAGGCACTCGACGACCAAACACCGCTGGGCAAAAAGGGAATCCAAGATGCCCGCCGCCTCGTGGTCGGTAGCCAAATGACAGCCACCCTGTTAATCAATTAACAGCCGATAGATACAGGGTTGCAATCGGTTAATAGGAGCCACACGACCACCGGTGTGTGGGCTCCCATTCGGTACTTTGTTCGTTTCATGAACAGTGTTGAAAATCACTGTTCGTGAAACTACCATATGAATGCTAGTGGCTTTCGTGCCACTAGCATACGAATTACATCTTTCACATTTTAAGCAAACACATTAAACACCATATATAAACCAGTCTCTCTAGGGCAACCCTCAGATATAAAGAAAATAGTCTTAGGTGGCTAGGTTTGCCACACCTTCTGACATGACACAGGTTAATCATCTCAAATTTATAATGCCTACTCCTAGCTGAACATATATATATATATTTTTCTGCCCATCCAGTGAAAGGGTTTACCCTTCCATTTTCTATAACTATGACTTAGCTGCATTAGCCACAATTCTGAGGATTCAAAGTTAAACCATCACTGCTTAAAGTGATGAAGAGGTGTTTCTAAACAAAGTGTGCAACTAAGCTGCTAACAGATACAAAGGTTGTTAAGGGTTGTCAGATGAGTGAAACATTAAAGATAAATGGTACAATCTGGAATGAGATTTTTCTTTTTACGGTTTGTTTTAACTGAATAAAAGCCCACTGGGAATCACTAAATCACTGGATATCTGCAGTTGCAGTATCAGTTATGCCTGTAAATTACTATTGCAATGCCGTACATGCATTGGGAAGTGATAAAAAGGTATTGCTTCACTTAAAGTACATTTTCGTTTTACATACATGCTCTCGTCCCATTGTGTACTTAAAAGTGGGGTATGCCTGTATACTTTTTATACAAGTGTGTTTGCATGTGTATATAGCATGAATGCATGTGTTTGTGTGCAGTAGATTTAGTGTGAATACATGTGCACATTTTCTGTGTGTGTATGATGTCTTTATCTAGTGTCAGCAAATGTGAATGCATTTTGCAATGTATACGTAGCATGAAGTGCACTGTATTTCTTCCCATTGTCCCCACCTCCTGTTCGTTTTGGCTCCAGACCCATCCTTCTAAGAACATCTTTAGGACTAATGCAAACACGTGTCAACAATGGAAAATCAAAACGCAACACCCCCTCACCACCCATTTAAATTTGCAATGTGCATCAAGACCATTAGGTGGCGGTGTTTCCCCAGCTGAAGTACTAGAGAACACCAATATTTCGTAACACTTGTAGCATATAACACTTTATACATACAGGGTATGGCTAAAAATATAAATAAAGCAAAACAAGAAACAGTATGTGAATTCTAAAAACAATTTAAAAAGCACATTCTGCTGCTTATTAAACAACTGTTACCATATAAATGTGCTACTTCCTTTGACTTTATGGTCACATGTTGTACTATTAAGAACCAGTGCCCCAAGGGGTGGGGTGTAAGGCACAGGTATGCAGGTGGTCTAGAAACTACGAACGAATATAGGAGAGGAAAACCACACACAAAAACAACCCTACAAACTGTGTGCGTTTCCGATAGAAATTAATTGCTGGGGTGACATCTTGTATCATGCACATAACTGATCCTTGAAAACTAGTAGATGACGATGTGACTACCGAAACAATGTAAAAAAAAAGGATCATATTGAGTTGGTGTAGTACTTCAATCTAATGTGTCCAATTCCTCACCCCTCTGGTACGCCGAACATTAATCAAGCTTAAATTCTGATTTCACACGATGCGATTCTTGGATAGGCATCTTGTGATATAGTCAGAGTTCTCTCGAAGTCATTAAAGCAGTGTTAGGCTGACATTAGACCTTTATAAAACGGATTTTCATTAGAGTTTTAAAGAATAAGAACATGGAGTGTTGTATGGAGTACTTCCAATGTGTAGGTTATTTAAGATTCATTTTAGATTGTGGTGATACTTGCAGGTTGTAAACATAACAGTTTGTTTGTCTGTGTCAAATTATTAATTGGATTATTCACTAAATTGTCAGGATTTCAAAGAGTAGAACATTTTGCAGCTTAAAGTGGCCAAATTGAAAACAGATTGATCAAGGTATTTTTCTTATCATTTGGTGGTTTTAACTTAAAACCAAGAAATTCACTTAGACCTTCTGACAATTCATAGTTTAGGTAAACATAAAAATAAAAACACCCTTTAAGTTTCTCGGAGGCATTTCAAGCCAAATAATACATTGTATGGAAAATTAACATTTTCCTTCAAATAAAATTTAACATTAATCAAGAATACCAACTACATACTCAATATACACGCTGCTGTAGGGTACACTGTATTGAACCAGTAATGTTTAAAAAGATTTGTAACAATTTCCTTTTCATTCTGTGGCAGACGTGTGATCCAGGTCCTGTCTTTTCCTGTAAAACAGATTTACACCAAATATGGCTCTTTAGAATGGATAGCTCAGGGCTGTATTGGGTCACACACTGGACAGCTTAGTTGACTTTTGACCCAGTCGGCACATTTTCAGAATTCAGACAGAAAAATTAAAATCTGAAGCTCTGCAGTTTTTTTAGCTAAATTCAGGAGTCTGATTAGAAGAAATATTTCTTCAAATGTATCTGAGCGGGGAAGTCAGTCTTGGTATAAAATGAACTCTTGTAAACTGCACAAACTTTAGTAAGAACACGCCAAGTCTACTTTACACTATTTCAGAGACCCCTAACTCACAAGAACTCTCCACAGTTTGTTGATTACATTTTTAAATGGTGTTTACAAATATGTTATTGTGATTCAGGTTTAAAAATAAATAAATACATACGACAATACTTTAAATTGAATTTTTATTTGTACACTCAAATGTATGTAGGACATAAAATGTTTACAGAAAAAGTTAAAAGTTTTATTTTAAACAATTTCAGTTAATACTTTGAGAAAGAGACACATACTTAAAGCGTGAGACACGAATACAGCGAGCGGCTACATGTTAAGTGGTTTAAAACAATATATTGTGAACTTGTACAAAAGTGGATCACAGAGAATGAGAAGAAGTGTACAAAATATCAGCTAGAAATGCACGATTTACGTCCTTAAGAAATACCTTCACTTCATACAAAAGATTTGTGAAGGGTCCCAACCGTGGTGGACCTCATCAATATGACAGTCACTGCATTAAACACGTCAAAGCAAAAACAGGTTAAAAAAAAAAAAAAAGTGTCAATGCATTAATACAATAAGAACTATTGAGTAGTTTGGGGATTAATACCTCAGTCTATATGAAAAACAATGGTTTAGTCACTTGGCAGGCATTTTCAGGAGACCCGATTACAGAGGTGTAAAATTTAGGCTGCAATAGATAATAGAAAAATATCAATCTCAGCCATTGGTAAAAACACTTCGTACTCTGTTGCCAGGACACATCATGGTTTAGAGAACAAACCCCTACGTTTTAGGTCATACATGATGAGTTAGCAATCTAATCCTCACAACCCTATTCTACAATACATTTTACTGTATTATGGTACCAAATTTGTCACTATCTGTCTGAAAACACTGACCTCTGATCCCTTGGTGTGAGATTTTCAAAGCACCTTCCCGAGTCCCAGAAAGAAGCCTTTTATATCCGTGTCCATTTGAGAAACTCTCTCGATGTTACTATAACTCATACTCAGTCTCTCTTGGGACTGGCAGTATGAGAGCCATCCACCAAGTCCTAATGGGTCTCCACAAACTGGGAATAGTAATACAAAGTAACGAGGATGTAGACTAGACTAAACAAAAAAATGGCACCTTTTCAAAACTGGGCATTATGCAGTTATCATTTAACAAGAGGTAGAAAGGGAATAGAAAATAACTGTTTCTGTGGTATGTTCCTATTAAAAAGATGGCCAAAACAGAAGAATGCCTAAAATGGTCACATCTCTGCTTTGTGATATGTTAAAGTTTATTCTCAGCTGGGATGTAAACAGGGCATTTAAGCCCTAAAGCATGTGACAATCTGTATTCCTCTGAAGCATACATTTACAAGAATAATTTTCAGATTTATCAGGACAAAAATTAATCTCCCATTACCAGAAACTGATTTGGAATACAGAATTTCACTTTCCGTGTTCAGAGACTCTTCAACCGCTCAAAACTGATGACAAATAAATAAAATGCCCATTCTTTTCATATGAGGCTAGCAAAAGCAATGGATGAGAAAATACACATTATTTTATTCACAGGAAATACAGATTTAAATAATACAGATTTTAGGTCTGCTGGCTCTAAAAAATATCCATAGATGTTGGCAATAACCAAGCAATGATGGAAGTGTGCAAAACCACAGTGGAGGAAATTAGTTAACCTAGATACAGACTGCAAAGCCCAGCTCACCTATAGAAAACTCTCACAGTTGTGATGTCCTAAGTACTGTTTTTTGGGAAGACTGACCGTAAAAGAATCCAGTACAGAGAATGAGCAGGTCAAGGTAAATGATGGCTGATCTAGCAGGCCTTTTATCTGAAATCATAAAAGGTAACGGGTTTAACCGGAAGAATGATTCAAATCACCAATGTGGATAAAGGTAGCTTTACCTTCAAGAAACACCTTATTCTAGCAAGCCATTACTCCAGTATGGTTTAGCACTTAGCCAGCCGATTCCCGGCATGCAGAACGAAAGAGAAAAACTGCTGCTTGGCATTGAATTAAATAACACAAAGAGGAAGGGCGGTGGGTATGATACAAAACAGACAGAGCATGTTTAAACTGAGGTATGTCACGTCCACTGTCAGAGTTTCAGGGGCGTCTTTACAATGTGGGATAAGGAACAGTCTCTGATCAAAAGCTGCAGACAAACACCAAGCACAGCCTGTAAAAATATCACAGTCCTGGGGTCAGGAGAACGGCGTACAAATAAATTACGTCTATGGGGAATGGGTTAGAAAGAAGGCATCACGTTTTGAAAACAAAACAAAAATAAAAAGTCAAACCGTTATCTCAGTAAGACACTAGTGAAAGGTGTTTGGATCTGCAAACGCAGACCGAATTGCTTCACTTTCCGCCATAATGCTGCATTGTCCGGTTAATCCTTAACGCGTTCCAACTGCCCTCTTACAATTAAAGAGGTAACAGATGCATTAAATACATTAGCAATACTTTTAAGTTTTTAAAAACTTTTGAAATCAGTTTTTATTCTATGGTCACATCAATTCTATGATTTGTGCGTCCACAGTTCTGCAAGAACACCATGATCAGAAAAATAAACCCTCAATTACACAATACCAGCACCACATTATTTACGTTATAAATACTTTTTACATAGTTCACATGATCTAATCGCAGACAGTACTCCTCAACTAATACTGGTCACGTCGGCTGCAACGCAAGCCCTCAAAAAAAATTCCTAAAAAGGAAAGACGGTGAAGAATTTAAATCAATACTGGAGGCCTGGTCGAATACCCCAGCAGACGTTTGTCGACCTCTGTCCCAGGCAAGGAGAAAGGAGAGTACCTCAAGGCCGAGTTAAAAATCCTTAGACATATCTACGAAATGCCAGTCATTGGCATTTAATCAGTTTTTGGGGTGAGTTTTTCTTTTTTTTTAAAATGTATTTATTTTTTTTAAACAGAACTTTTTGGGCCTTGGCAGCTCCTCTATCGTTTTCCGATGCCTGAAATTAATTAAATCAAGCAATGTGAGCCACACTAATGGCACTGAAAATTCACAGCATTAATTAATCTCAGCACAGGTATTTTTTCTCTCCCTAGGAGTCATGGGAGACAATTTTGTGTTATTACAGTCGTACGTGAATGTGTAGATTTGGAATGTATAGTTATGAAGGTTTGCATTTTTATGTATATATATTTAAATTCATATATAAGTGCTTATATAAACTGAGGGAAGAAAACTCCCTTTTTTCTTAACTGTTGACATGTCAAGTTTGAAAATACGGTCGTCAAAATTCATAAAGAAATACATCCTTTTCGTTTCAAAAGTATAGGATTTTAAGAAAGAGAAATTTTTTTTTTTTAGATACAAATCTCTTTGCTTTGTAAACATTAGATGAGCCAGCTGCTGCTATTTCTAGAGTGTGCCGTGCCAAAAATCTGGAAAAAAAATAAAAAAAAATATATATATATATATATATGCTCCAGCAGACTTTAGAATAAATTCAATGGCCACAGCAGCAATGGCGGAATGGGCAGAATTTCAGCGGTTACAATGAGGAAAAAAAATAATATATATTTTTTTAGAAGATACACAGTGTGTTCACAGTTGTTCGTAAAGAACAAGTTAAGTCAGTGCTTTGTGTGCATCTTAAAATCTCTCCCTCGTCTTACCACATATTCAAGAGTCAAGTAATACTGACTAAAGTTTGCTATAAGGTCGTCATACGTGACGAATCATATCGGCAGACGGACTCTTGTACAGATACTTCCAAATGGCGTAATAATGCACAGCAGCTGCCAGGGCCACAAACAGGTGCCAAATGGCATGGGCAAAGGGGATAATGCCATCACTTTTGAAGAACACTACTCCCAAGCAGTAGATGAGTCCGCCCCAAGCAAGTTCGTGTAAACCGTCGGTGTTATTCTAGAACAGAGGGCAAAGAGATTAAAACACACAGTCAATGCGATACTTACTTCATAAATTAATAAGAAACACATTCAAGATCTATTAGTCATTAAAAATGTGAAAAACTACAAAAAAAAAATAAAAATTGCACAGCACGGGTTATAAAATGTTTTTCTAAAAGTATACTTGAAGCATAAAAAGATGTATTTAAATTTAAACAAATACTGCAAGACTATGATATTCTTTTGGTTACATGATAACTAAAAACGAATGGCTTATTACATTAGAGGACTCATATAAACAAAAACACCATTAACCGGTTAACTGTGATCATTGTTAGTCTATAATTTTTAGAGATTGTTCAAAGTAAATCAGAGCTAAATTTCTTAGGTGTTGGAGGAGGGGCAGGCTTATCAAACTTTTCCAATACATTTTGGAATAATATTCCTGATCAACTAAGTTTTTTTTTTTTTAAAGATAGTGTATTAAGGTTGTATTGTTAGTAATACTGGGTCTAACAAGAAATATAACAGACATCTGCAGTATTTTCAAGCTATTTCACAGCAAATATAAGGATAATTAAATACATATACTAACATTTTACTTGTAAACTGAAAGGACATTTATACAGAGCCTAATAAAACCTATTTACCTAAAATGTTTTAAATCACAGTAAACCCTTTAATAAATAACCCAGCAAAATTGTAATCAGAAACTATCACACACACACACGACTGAAAGTTAATTAAACTGGCCAGTGAACTATAGGGACCCATCAAGGACCGGACATCTAAAACCAGGTTGATTGACGTGTCATAAAATTCCTAGGTTAAAGCTAGAGATTATTTAAAGAAATTAATTTCCAGATGGCTCTATCAACTATGCAGATGGCAGAATTATAATCCACGTGACAGTTGCTGACTAAATCTGGTATTTCAGTGCCAGCGATGTAGCAATCTGATCAGAATTTATTGGAATAAACAAGTCTGAAAATCTTTGGCACCAAAAATACACAAAAAAAAAAAAGCCTGTCTAGAACAGATTTATACAGTCAGGGAAAAAAACTACACCATCTTTGAATTCTGTGGCTATACATATCGGGACATAAGTACAATTATCTGTTTTACGGATGCACTGAAATGAAAATTCTGGGCCGAAACCAAAAATTCAGGATGCCCTTGGCCAAAAACGGACTTTAAAAAAAAAAAAAAAAGAATTTTTTTTCCCCTCCCCTATAATTTTATCAATATTAGACTTTTTAATGAATTTAATTAATCGAATATGAAAAACTTCCCTTCTCTTTTAATGGTTCCCCCCCCCCTTAATGTTTTTCTCTCCCCCCTCTAGTGTTCTTTTCTTCCCCCCTCCCGTGTCCCATAGTCTCCTTTGCACCCCTCCCGTGTCTCATAGTCTCATTTGCACCCCTCCCGTGTTCCATAGTTTTCTTTGCACCCCTCCCGTGTTCCATAGTGCAGTATTCTTAACTTTATGTTATCATTACTATCTCTCATTGTGATATATAATAATCTGAATTGTTAAGGCAAACATGTCTGTTAAACTATGCACTACAAAAAAATAAATAAAAAAAAAGTTAAAAAAAATTCATCAAATTTGACCTGTTTTCAGATAAAACGGGATAGGCCCATTTTTGCAAGCCAAAATTTCGAGGCATCCCTAATCCGTTTCTTAGCAGGTCTTAAAATTAGGTAAATACAACCTCAGGTGAACAACAACATTTGACATATTACACGGTCACGATTTAAAAAAAAATAAATAAAGCAAATATGAAGAATCCATGAGTGAAAAACGAAGTGCTTCGGTAGAAATTAAGAGGCGAAGTAGTACACCGGTGCTGCTAAACAAATGCCCTTGAAGCCAGGTGTGAAAAATGAAGTACACTATATGATTGAATAGCTTGTAGAACTACCTTAAAGGGACACTATAGCGGTGACTAGGGCCCCGTTCCGTGGCGAATAAATGGTTAACTAACCATTTATTTGCTTACCTTAATCCAGCGCCATTGCTCACTCGGCGTTTGTGAACTCTCCTCCTCCATCGACGTCAGCTTCCGAGTGGAGCTGAATGCGCGGCCAGAGGATCGCGTGCATTCAAACCCATCCATAGGAAACCATTACTCAATGCTTTCCTACGGGGATCTTTTTTGACGCTGGACTCCGTGAGGACTTCCAGCATCAAATAAGTGCGATTTACTCAGTGTAAATCGCGGAAGGGCCTCTAGTGGCCACTAGAGGCTGGATTAACCCTGCAGTGTAAACATAGCAGTTTCTCTGGTTAAAAACTAGGGGGACCTGGCACACAGTACACTTCATTGAGCTGAAGTGGTCTAGGTGCCTATAGTGGTCCTTTAGGCAGCAATAACTTGAAATCATTTTCTATAGGACTGTTAGTCTCCAAAGTGGAGTAATTTCGTCCCAATCTTTGTTGTCTTAGTTCATTGAGGTTTGCTGGAATTTGTTTATGTACAGCTCTCATGAGGTCCCGTCAAATTCCAAACGGGTTGAGGTCTGGACTGGGACTTGATTTTCTTTTTCTGTCATGTGTTCTTGTTCATCTGAGGCTGTATTTACCCAATTTTAAGACCTACTAAGGAACAGATGATGGTTATGTCCTGATACCGGATATGTAACACCAAAGAGGGTGTACTTTCTTTTCCGCACGACTGTATAAAATTTGATATTAGCATCAAACAAAAACGGCTGCCTGAATGCAAGACGAAAAAAAAAAAAAAAAAACACATTAAAAAAATAAATAAAAATAAAATAAATATTATTAATTATCTGAAC